GAAACTGAGTATGGAGGCTGAGTAAGTCTGAGAGGATGCCAGCAGTAGCCAGTCGTTCAGGTAATGATGAAAAAAAAGGCTCCAGGAATGAAGCAGTCATGTGAATGTCTGGACAACTTGGCAAAACACATAATGAGCCATGGCTAGGCCAAATGGAAATGTTCGAAACTGAAAAACACACATTTGATGAACAAAGCAAAGAAAATGTCAGCATGCTGGAGAGATTGGAATATGAAGATAAGCATCCAACACATTAACCTTTATCATCCACAGACCTGGAGTGAAAACCCAATGGAGAGTTAAGTGTGATTCCATAGTGAACTTGGGAACGACGAGGAAGTGATTCAGAGACGATAATTCGATCACTGGGTGCCAGTATTCTGTCTTTTTGTGGAACTTCAAACAGATGAGAATAAAACCCTGGACATGAAGGATCTCTTCATTTAATGGCACCTTTGGAAAGTAAACTTTGAACTGCTTCCGACAAACGCTGACATAAAGTGGGATCCCGACGGGGGGGGGATTGGATGGGGAAGACAACAGTGGGGATGACAGAAAACAGAGGGCCAGATCTTCAGAAATAGCCTTCAAAACCCATGGATCAATCGTAAAAGGCGAGGTAAAAGTCTGGCCCCCACTGGCCCTGACTCAAAAATCAAGTCACCAATGCTGAATGCCCCAAACACGACGATGAGAGCCAAACAATTGCGCTAAGCTGATGAACAAGAAGTCAGCACTGGCATAGGGTTACATGGTGAGGGGGCATATCACTGAGACAGGAGCAGGTATTTGGGACAAACAAGAAACCAATGAAGATATGGAGTGATTCAACCCTGGACTTAAATACCTCTTCTAGCAAATAGAAGACTACAAGATTCATCAGAAAATTCCTCAGGGGACTGGTGAAGGGAGGACAAGGCACGGAAAACAGTAGACATAATAAGACAAATATGGGAAAATTGAAGTTGGGAAAAGGAAACCAAAATATTTGAGTACAAACCCCACAAAGGAATAAGAGTTTCCAAATGTTGTGAGTCTAAATAGAGGTAGTTGGCATGATAAAAAGCAAAAGCAGATCATCCAATGTACATAAGGGATGAGGCATACAGATCCCCCTCTCTTAACTGTTCCTCAAAATGACAAGCATGAACCCCAATATCCAGTGAAAGTAGAAAAAACAGATATTGACCCAAAGATTTGTCTCCAGAGAGGATAGGGGTAAAATAATAGGACACAGGAGACAAAGACAAAATCAAACATACCTGATTAATCCAATCAACAAAGGAAGAAGGAGGCCTGAGCAAGTCCCCTGATATGACATGAGATTAAGAAGCATATTCAGGAGGGGGAAAAAGGCTGTCCAAATTCTCACCCTCCTTGTCAGACACTCCAGGTGCTGGTATGAGAGGATACCCTTCAGGTGGTGGTGAATGTTGCATGAAATTAGACAATTCTCCACAGATCATAGTAGTCACACCATCAGTCGATAACTGTGGAACCGACACTAAAGATGTGGTCATTAATTCCACCAGAGCAGAAACAGCAGTGGTAGTAATGGCTAAAGGTATCTAAAAAAAAACTAGAAAATAATTTAAATATTCCAAAATTTACTAGGGAAATATACATGTCTTATCAGTAAGACTGCCAATCGAAAAGTTATTAACAGGTGCATTATTAGAGAAGCACTAGTTAGGGATAGTGTCACATTCCTGTTGGTGAAAGGTTGCTGCAGAATCAGTTGCATGTGGATATGCAGAAAAAAGTAGGAGTTAGAAGGCTAGTGGCAAGCAAATAATTTGTGCCAATACAGGGCAGTACTAATCTAGAAAGCTTTTTGTGAGGGGAGGTAAGATATCTTATCAGAAATTGTATTAAGATTATAACTGAGAATATCTTTAACAGCAATGATACCCAACTGATGATTCAACATCATCCTAGATTTCAATTTTCTGGTATTGAAATGTAAAACTGACTCAGTTTTTCTGATCAGTTTATAAAGAAATGTCTTTATTAATACATGTGTTACTTTTGAATTACATAAGCTGTGATGTAATTAGTATACTCTTGGTCAGAAATACTTAATAATTTTAAAACAAAAGGTACTACATAAAATCATTTGTAGTCACGATACTTGAACTGTCACAGAATGTAAAATACATTATCAATTTCATGACAAAAGGTCAAAATCTGCATACTCAAATATATTAAAATGTTTCATTGTTTTAAAATTTGACAAAGGGTTTTATAGAGAGGAGCTATATTAGATTTAATATTAGCATCCGATGTGAATATGATAGTTGGAGAGAATTTAAGTACAAGCGACCATTGCACTATTCATTTGGCATTTTACTACATGTAGAATTGAAAAATAATAATACCCTGATTCCAAATTTCGGGAAAGTCAATTTTAATGGAATGAGACAGGATTTAGGAAAAAATTGATATATGTACAGAACATACATATTCCCTACAGAAAAAAAAGGGCAACAGAGTGGAATAAGTCAGTATAGTCTAGTAAAGGTTTAAGAGATTATATTAGGGATAAACATAATAAATTCAAGAAATTCAAACTTACTGGAAATAAAAAGGACCACAGGAAATCAAGATAGCTGGTTAAAAAAAAAGTCAAAAGGGCAAGAATTGTATATCAAAGAGGGCTGGTTGAGAGAGTTAAATCAAACAATAAGGAGTTCTTAGCTATATGATGGGTTAGCAAAATGTTGTTACGGGGATTGGGTCTCTTGAAAATAATAGTGGGGAGCTGATCTCAGAAGATTATGAGATGGTAAACTTATTAAATTATACGTTCTCTTCAGTTTGGACAAATGAAAGTACAAGTATTATGCCTCAACCAGAGCATTTAATGTAAGGCGTAAATACTGTAAAATATATCATTTTTAAATTCTGAAACTGTATGAGAAAAGTTGGGAAACCTAAAAATTTATAAATCCCCTGGGCCAGACAACTTTTATCCTAAAGTTTTAAAGGAACTTAAAATATTTTATTTGTGAACCTCTAGCTAATATTTTTTATAGGTCATTGAGTAGTGGAAGATTATGAGAAGATTGGACATCAG